GGAAAACGTCGATGACATGTGTCACAGTCTCGACGGGTAGCGTCTTCCAAACACGCGGCCCAACTGTTGGCAGCTGTGACACATGGCATGACAATCGTGTCGATCGGGATGATCGTAACCTTTCTGACAGGCCTCGCAAAGTAGTTTCTTTCAAAAAAAGCCGGCATGGACGTGATGACGTCATAATGATTGGCGTGATGATATAAATGTAATACTTTAGACTGACCACCTACGACGTATTTGGTTCCTTTAAACATCAGTTTTCCAACATTGATCTGGTACCCCTGCGGACCCATCACACGTTGGTATTGTTCCCAGGTCTCGGGGCCACGACAGGCTTTGTAGGCACCTCCTACCTCTTCAATTAATCGGCGGGTCATTCGTGTCTGCCAGCTGTCGGGTCCACAATGCTTGACTATTCTTTTTCTTTCTGCTTCCCATTCTGGAGTGTCGTTCTTGTTGGCATAGTGTTTGGCCACCACCAAAGCACGCTGAAAACAGAGCTGTTCCCAATTTTTAATGACTACGATGCCTCTCTTCCGTTTCAAATGAACTCATGTTCTTCTTTTTGATGGGGTGTCCACTACCGGATCCATTAGGAGGGGCTACGTTACACACATGAAGTCTCAGGCGTTCATCCATCTTAAATTTTTCGTTGGATTGTAATATTCGGGCCAGCGGATCCAATATGTGATTTGGTCTTACATCTTGCCACGGTTGAAACGTCTTGAGTCCCGGGTGCGATACACTAAATCGCACAAAGTCGTTGGGTTGACAACCAACCAAATTCCCAAGATCAGGCCGAGCGACAACGGTTTTTGGAGGAGAGAGGGTACCTCCAGAAACTGTTGCGGCAGACCCGCCGCGAGCTCCATCGGTTAGAGGCCTTGGAGTTGGATGCTCGTAGAGAGGAGCTGTTGGACCTCTATCGGCTGCAAGCCGATGGGGTACTTCCCCTACCGCCACCCCCACCGCCTTACAGTCTATACCCTCGACTGTGAGGCAAGCTATAAAAGGCCCTTTTCAGGGCCACCCAAACGGCCCTTTTCAGGGCCACCAACTCATTCAGAAAGAGTATTCATATTCTATTTTGATTTTAAATAGTAAACAAACCAAAAATCATATTAAAAATCATAATAAAAATCATAATAAGATCCTATTTCGTCCATTCGTGTCCATATTTTAAGATAATATATTAAATTCTCTCGCCTAATATAGTATACATTTCAAATTCATTTCAGATTCATTTCAAATGTGTTTTAAAATCTGTTTATGAGAAGGGGGCTCGTTCCTCTCTATGAGGCCCGCGCTAAGGCGGGCTCGGACTTTCAACTCCATTTCCCAACTCCATTTTCCAATCCTATTTCCTTTTTTTTTTCTTCTTAGGTTTTATCAAAAGGGTGCTCTCTATGAGGTCCGCGCTAGTGGGGGCTCTGAGATTTCGATCCCGTTATTTTGCATAAAAGGCCGCTCGGTCGCACTTATCTGTCATTCCACCATGGGTTCTTTCGAGATGTTTGAAGACTTGTTAATGGAAGACTGGCAAGAAGAAGACATGTTGGGTGAGACGGTAGCAGTCCACACGCCGGAGACCGAGTACGAGGGAGACGACGAGGGCGCCTACAGCGACGATGAATGGATGTTTGGCGACGAAGAATGGCTGGTATCAGACCCGTTCCTGTCCGAAATGGCTGACGAAATGTATAGCTGGATGTATACAGGCCGAACTCTTCCTGTACACCAGCTAGATCTACCACTCAACCAGCAACAGACATATTCGAGCCATTTACCAACATTGAAGGCATCGGTATGTTCCTTATTCCTACCAAGTTTCAACTTGATACATCAAATAGCAACGGAGATACACCATCGTAAATGTCGAAAAAATGATGAAGAAAAATTTCACAAATCTTTGATGATAATATTAATCGAGCGAAGTTACGAATTTCGAAAAACCGTCAGCCAGAGCCCATATGGGATTCGTCAAAAAAATCCAAAAATGAAAACTCGAGGGCGATCCGTTGCGAAATAACCGAGACATGGGCAATCTGAAATTATTTTTGTCCCATCCGTAAAACACCTCCTGTTTGTCAAAAATGACGCAATACATATTTAATAAATAGATCCACGGAGGCAAACCACATCTACGTTGGCAGAATGTTTACACCATGTACAGCTTTGGCGGCACAAACTGACTAAATGCATGTTTAAAGAGCACAATGCTGACCCGGGATAAATGAGAACAAACAATGTCTACAATTGTTTGTCAAGGCAAAGACATTATCTAATGTCCTAAAACCTACATGAAATAATTAAAGAGACGGCAAGTGTCCCCATCAAGTTAATAGACTACGAAAAGGCGAAATTGCCGATAATCTGTTACTGGATTTAACTCCACCTAGCAAAGCATTCTCTTTAAAAGTTTCCAGCCACAAGCGATACCACGATCAAGGTCATTTTACAAATTCACATCAATCATTGTGGATGAAATTATAATGATTACATTTAGCCCGTAAATTCAAGGCGTTACGCGAATCATGTCTTTTAAATAATGCTCAAGGCAACAAAGTTATCTGGCCTGTTAGCTCATTTTTAGAGCCTTGCATGTCAGCAACTACCATTTAATTGGTTTAGTTAGATTTGAATTGAAATGTCATCCCCATAGACTCTTTCAATGATACTTTAAAATGTCAAAGTGCCTATCTATCTTACTCAGTTAAAATCCTTTTTTCCCATGATACAATGGCTTTGGCCCCTAAAATTTGCTCTTATTTATGTTGTTTTATTAACGTAAGCCTTCATTATGAAATAATAATAAATTTATGATATTAAAATTTAATTTCAAATAGGCCTATAACATTTTTCAGTAAACACATTTGAGATTAATGATTTATCTTTTTACAAATCATCATAACCCTAAATCATATAAGTAAATACTATGCTTATGGCATGTCTAGTATACTAATCAGCAACAAAAGTCAGTAAGATTTCAAAATCAGAGAGGCACTTTTATCAAATCATTCTAGAAAACGACTTACTAAATGGATCAAAGCAATTTTTTGTGAACACTATTTTGACGCATTAGTGATTAATTCATCACAATTCCAAGAAAACGACTTAATAAATGGATCAAAACATTTTTTTGTGAACAGTATGTTGACACATTAGTGATAATTTCATCAAACCTTGCGAGAAGGTTTAGGGTCTGTACATCAGTATCTGGTGTGTCCACCGCGAGTGTCATTAACAGCAGCTGTCGCACAACATGACGGTCTTATCACCTTGTGGTAACCCTTGGTCTACCAGTTCGGAGGAGATCATCCGTGGTGTTGTTGGCCCGAAAGCGTTGCTGAAGCCTGTAGATGGTCCGAGCATTGATCTGGAAGTGATTGGTAACGGCTTGGGCAGTGTGGCCAACGTCGAGTCTTCCAAGCGCCTGGTTCCTCTGAGCATGCTGCTGACGTTGTAGCGTGAATGATTCAATCAGGTATGGGGTGCACTTTATAGGGCTGATTCCGGTGAACAGCACGTGCAGCATGAGTTACATTAAAATCATGGAGAATACATTACCATCTCAGAAGTCAGGTTGCGTTTTTGAGAACATTTCCTGGTGGTTCAATTCTGTGTTTGGGAAGGAGCCTTATTGCTCAGGTAAAGTTGGAGATGTGGTCACAATTAATATACAATAAAAACATTTGGCAAGTTTTATGCAGTGCGTCTATTTAGAGTAACATACCAACCTGACGTTTCTTTTGCTGCTTAGTATATTATAGGCCACTAGGCCTTCTAATACCTAGCAATTGGCCATTTTAAACCATCATAGGCCTACACGAAGATCTTTTCTTTATAGATAAGAGTGCCCTTCCTTACATGACATTAGATATGAAGTGATTTTCTTTTAGCGTTTTTTTTTTTTGTTTTTTTTTTCTCTTAATTATTTGAAAATAGTATAATTTATACTTGAATCATATGGTCATATATAAAACAGTAACAAAGGGCTTTGTTTACTGCAGTTCTGAGTGTTTTTTTCTTTCTTGGGATTCTAATTTTGGGCGTCATCTAAATGCTTAAATTGCCTTACAATAAAATAAACGGGTGGACCTTAGCTGTATTTCCCATGCTATGAACCGAAAATGAATGAGAATTGTTTTTGTGAATGATGGTATTCTAAAATAATGTGACCCGGGTCATTGGCAATATTATCATACGTTCCTAATTGGCCGTAAGAAATGAAGTTTTTTTTAAAAATTCTGAGTAATTCTGAAAACTATCGCATCTTCTTCCGTGGTTCTTGACGGCTAGATAGTCCAGGGTTAATTTAAATCAGTTTTGTGACTACAATTCGAAGGTAGAACATTTCTGGACAATGAGCGGAGAACAATACTGCGATTTAATATTCGATTGGTACAAACTAGTCACTCTCACCTTCCAAAATACAAAACAAATAAAGAGCGCCGATAAAATATGCTATTGGCTATAAATTGTCCAGACCTTTTTTTCAGGACAGTGTATTCCGAAGCGGCATTTTTCGACACCGTAACATTATTTAATTACCACATGTGTTCTTACATAGTAGAAATCATTGAAATCATTCAGTTATATTCGGAATGTGTGTATCCACTATCCCAAAAACATACGACAAACAATGATATAGCTGTAATATATAACTAGGCATAAACGGTAATATGGTAATAGTCCGCCCCAAATGCTTGCGTATCTAAAAAATTTTATATAAATTAGACAGACGCGGTTTCGCCGCAGACGGCTGGGCGAAAATAGCCAGAGTAGACAGGTTTTTAAATGTTTTTAAACGTTATTGTGTTGTTGTAGAAATCAGTATCATATCAATTTAATTTAGCGGTCTTCAGAAGTTGGTCATTTATCAAGACCCTGGAGCACTGCTGTGACACAGGATATCACATTATACGATTTGCTGAAAGGTCAAAAATGACGAATAGCAGTATTCATCGTAAAACAGAAAACAAACTACTTTTATGCAAAAGAAAGAAAAGTGCTCACGATATGATTAAAATGAATTTATGTTTTATGAAATTACAATAGGATATAAGGATGGAAATGACAACAAAAATAAATATTGCACAAACTTGGTGTCTGATATCAAGTAAAATATTAAAATTGCACTTAGGCAGGACAATGAGGTGTACATAAAGGATTGATGTTAAACTAAATAAACAAACAAATAGTAACAAGTAAACGATAGCAAAAAAAAAACAACCCAAAAACGCTTCACATGTTTTACACGGCAATACTATATACCGGAAAACAACCGGAAAACACCGGAAAACACCATTTTATACTGAATACCGGAAAACACTGGAAAAACATTAAATATCGGAAAACACACTAAATACCGGAAAATACCCTAAATAGGTAACCCGGAGACTAGCACCCTAAATAGGTAACCGGAAGCCTGGTTAGTTTCTGCTTTATAGTATAGACCTTCTCCGGGTTACCTATTTAGGGTGGTTTCCGGTATTTAGTGTGTTTTCCGGTATTTTGTGTTTTTGCGGTGTTTTCCGGTATTTAGTATAACATGGTGTTTTCCGGTAGTTTTCCGGTTGTTTTCCGGTGTTTTCCGGTATATAGTATAGCCCTGTTTTACAGGAGGTCGATTAAACATTTATTATATAACAATTATCTAATAACAATTTCGGGACCCCTGCACCTTATTCCATTAAAATTCGGACGAAACTTGATTTTGAATTGATAAATTTCAATTTCTGTAGTCTGGAAATTCTGTGACTAAATGTTATGTATTGTTGATAATTATTGTTGAGAAACTAAGACACCCACATATAGGTCCTTTACAAATAACAAGTTTTCATTTCACTACTCAAAATGCAACTGCTTTATACGGACCGATACTTAGCTTTAATTTTAGTACTTTCTATCAATTTACGAAATAGGGTGGTATATATGTTTAATTAGATTGCATAAAAAGCGAAATACATTAAAACATAATTATACAATATTCAGAGTAGGGAATGCACAGTTACCTGTATTATGTATATTAATCAATAGTGAGAACTAAATCTTTTTTTTCTGGCACTTATAACAATTCAAACCTAACATTAACATGTTAAAGCATGTTCTAATTACAAAGTATATTTGACGTTTATAATAATTTATACTAAACAAATAGGTTGCCTGATAACGAACAATGACCCACTAATAGCTTTGTCTTCTAAGCTCTGCAAAAACTTTTTCAGTGATGATTTACACAATTATATAGCAAAGAATATATTTTCAAAAGTGGGATAAACCTGGAATTGGTTACCGAATATCATTGAGGCTCGGTCCAGTCGTGTCCATTCAATGAGCTAGACAAACCGAACAGATCGGTTGATAACTCAGATCTCTAGAGTGGTAAGATGATTTTGTAGCAAAAGGGCTCAACACTGGATATTATTAAAATATCGTTGAAAATCAACATGAGTTTTATTTGCAATAAGTTAAGAAAATATTAGTTGATAATCGCAACCGCTACTGTGCTAACACGTGGTGATCGAAAAATTGTTGAAGTTCAGTAGAAGAATTTATAATAATAAGTTAGGGCAACCCTTAACAATTTCAAAACGTCTAGTTGATAATTGTGGCTATCATAGTTTGTAACTAAGTGGTCATCAAAAGTCGCCGAAAAGCACTACACTTCTTCCTTCCGTCAGGATAGGGATGCAATACAAATTTAAGAAATATTGGTTGATAGATTTCCTAACAAAACAGTCTTAACTCAGCCATCAAAATCGATGAATATGATTTTTTTCCCTTTAATCAAATGGACAAATCGTACAATTTTCAGAAAGATCAGTTAACTAGGTTTGGTACAAAATGGGCATAATTCTGGGGCGTTCATCGGAAATTTTGCTGAAAATCATCAAGGTTTTTACCTTCAATGCTCTAAACTCTACATGATTTCGGAATAAGGAGAATACCTCGATAAATATCGAAAAAACACTAAAAATTTATATATACATTTCGGAACAAGGAGCATACCTCGGTGAATATCGAAAAACACTGAAAATTAACATACATCTATTATTGTGGCCTCTAGTAAACTACAAATAATGTGAACGACATACTGATGGACAAACGATTGGACAGGTTCCCTGAGTTCCCTTACTAGGTTTTCTTTTATATAAATTATATTGTTGGGTTAATCATACGGGTTTAAACAAATAATGAGTAATGCAAAATGGCATCCAAATCAATAACCCCAACTGTAACCCTGCAATTTGAATTAAGATTTTCAAGCCCGGGACGGTGGTGGTGGTGGCTATGCTCAGTCCCGAATAAAACTATTTAAATCTGAGATTAATACTCATTCATACATTTTTAGAAACGTATATAAATAGACATTAACCAGTTAATTCCACACCCACATGTGTCAAACCTACAGACCTGACAGACCTGATCTATACAGGAATTTAAAAGAAGTAAGTCATACAAATATGTACCAATGCTCAATAAATGCACCGAAAATACAGGTATTTTACAAGACGATAAATATTAAGAATCTTAAATGGACTCTTATCTAAGTAACTAACTAGAATAAACATATACGATAAAACAATATATACACACTTACAGCCCACGCACACCGACCACCATATATATAAAATTATAATTGATGGTCGCTCTTAGCTTGTATATATGAAAAATAAAATGTTGAATAAAGAAACACAGTTTCTTTCCTCAGTATTTTAGTTTTTTAATATATATATAATGGAATAAACATATACGAGTAAACAATATACACACACTTACATATATCTTATATATATCGCATAATTCTGTGTTTCTTTCCTCATAATATCATGTGGAAAAATAGATTAAATATTTGAAATATCAGTAAAACATTGACTAGAAAAATATATATTACAACCATCAGTAAAAGGCAAATTGATATTCATTCGAATTTTGTTTAGAAAAGTTCTGGGAGAATACCTCAATCTCTCGCTAACCCGTGGACAACAATAAAATATTACATTTCGTTCTGGGCATAAACAATTAGTGTCAAGTTTTTTTTCGCACGTATATTTAACGTTAATATAGTTTCTGTTTATTGAAAGGTCTGACACAGACCTTTAATTAACAAGTTGAACACTTTTCTGGGCATATTGAGGCATTGTCTCAATTTGCGTATGACAATATTTTCGACCATATTGTAAGGTCGGTGGCATTTAATGTCTGTCAGATAAAAAGATACGAAAGTATAAACTTTTGGTTTAGGATAAAACAAAGGTGGTGCTGAAATGTCGTCATTCTCAATGACAGACTGTATGATACAGCACGCGCGTGCTAACCATTTGGCCATCCACCCCCTATAAATAAAGGACAAAAGATGATATCATTATTACCCTGATTGCTAGCCTAATAAAAATTGTCGTCGATATCAGTCGTGTAATGTAAAATTTATGCACACCAGTTGGCTTCTATTACATGTTTATAAATATTCTTAATTCTGATGAAGAAGTAATTGTTCAAGTTCATCTGCTGATCTGTATATAAATAAAGGACAAAGGATGATATCATTATTACCCCGATTGCTAGTCTAATAAAAACTTGTTGTCGATATCAATTGTGTAATGTAAAATTTATGCACACCAGTTGGCTTCTATTACATGTTTAAAAATATTCTTAATTCTGATGAAGAAGTAATTGTCCAAGTTCATCTGCTGATCTGTGTATAAATAAAGGACAAAAGATGATATCATTATTACCCCGATTGCTAGCCTAATAAAATCTTGTCGTCGATATCAATTGTGTAATGTAAAATTTATGCACACCAGTTGGCTTCTATTACAAATATATAAATATTCTTAATTCTGATGAAGAAGTAATTGTTCAAGTTCATCTGCTGATCTGTATAAGAAAGCGGCTGATTCTCGATATCCTGCTATCAACTGTTTGATGGTGGAAAGCTCTGTTCCACTCAGTTGACTTTTGTTATTCTGTTTTTTCATACTAAGATCTGTAGGGCCTGTAATAAAACAACTTAGAATATATTTTCGAAGGACTGTTGCCTATTATCGCAACAAAATACAAAATGTTTTTAAAGGTAAATTAAGATAAAAACAAGAAGCCAACAGTTAGTCTGGTGTCCACTATGCCAAATTTAATTATTTGCCCATAAAGGTTCTTGCAATCACATTCATCGTTTGTGATCCCCCCCCCCCCCCCTTAGCATACTGAGTCACAATGAGGAAATTTTGAATATTGAGTTATTGTTATTTTCACATTCTCCAACTCATTACATACATCAATTTGATGTATAGTTTGTTTGAATTGGGCAAAAATTGACTGAGCTGTGTCCATTAGAAGCTACCCAACTCACAAAAGTAAGTTTTGAGAAAAAGCAAGTCAAAGATTTGGTATGTTCCAAAACAAAATCCCATAGCAACCAGGCCATTTATCTGCTGTTTTGTCGTTGAATATATCTTTCCATGGGTTTTCAGGGGTGTTGAAGACGAAAATCGTAGTGAAAATTTGATCCGACTATTTCCGCAATTTATTTGCTATTTTGTCGTTTAATATGTTTTTAATTTAGGGTTTCAAGGGTACTGACGACGAAAATCGTAATAAATGTACCCCTTTCGTAACGAAACATCCACAATACATACGGCATAATATTCACATGATAGTGTTATACTGGAGAACAATCTATTCATTAGTAGTCTGTTGTGTATATTATAACTTTGGAGAGATTAACTGTTGTTTTTTTTTCTGCCACTTATCAGAGTGAATCGCATGAAGTTGCCCAAAAACATTGCCCAAAAACATGAGATATCAAATAATCACTACTTGGATTAATTATTCGGAGTAAATAATGAGTTGTCGACGGCTTTATCATTGACCCGTGACAGTTGATTAGTAATAGTATTACTCAATGACATACACCCGCTTGTCAATTAATTTACATCATCAGCCATGTGGTTTCGATTAACACTCAACGGCAATCTATATACGATCAGAATTATTTTTTTTTCTGCCACTTATCAGAGTGAATCGCATGAAGTTGACCAAAAACATTATCGCCAAAACCAAATTTTTATCGATGTCTGGGCCAATCAGCAAACGAGTTGTGTAGACAGCATGGCAACAGGCGGAGTTTATTTATATTTGGGGGGGGGGGGGGGGTAAAACTCGATTGTATCCGTTCAAAATCAATTCATCGACAATATTTTGATCATATTTGTAAATTAAAGATGCTCCGCTTTACAACGATGCCAATTATTATGCAAGAGGAATGACCGGTCGTCCCGCTGCGAGCGAAGAAAAATAACTAATTTCGCCGAGAATTTTAAGAAATAGGACAGATTTAAGAATACGGTACTCTTTCAAAACGTTCAAATACAGGGCCCTTATTCACGAAAACTTAAACTAAGATACAATCGAAATTTTAAGAAATACTGCAATTCGATTGGCCGACCAGTAAAATCAATTTGCATATATCCAATGAAGTTGCAGTATTTCTTAAAATTTCGGTTGTAACTTAGTTTAAGTTTTCCTGAATAAGGGCCCTGGTGTTTTAAAATGTTTTATTGCTATTTTGATCTTTTGTGTCGATAGATAGTATATTTATAGATTCGTTTTTGTGAAAATCTCAATTTCGATCAAAACCAATATTTTCACTTATTTTGTCTTTATCTCATTATTGATTCGCGCGCTCGATCCTGCATTGGCCGAGAAAGTTCATCCAGATTTTCCGACGTGGTTTCCCCTTGTCAGTGGTGCAGAACGGAGGGCCTGACAAGGACAGCTGTCTAGTCCTTCGGATGAGACGAAAAACCGAGGTCCCGTGTATACATTAGAATGCACGTAAAAGATCCCTTGGCAGTTGGAATTCGATATAAGAGTAGGCGATAGTGCCGCTGCCCGGGCAAAATTTCCCTCATAGCACACTGTATGGCGTATGCCCGTCTTCACTAGCCCAGTATAGGAGCAGAACAGTAGGACGTTAAACCCCATTTCATTTTGATTTCATTTTATAGATCATATAGGAATCACATTGTTTATCAATCTGCTCAACCTAAACAAAAAATGCTGAATATCAAGGTATTTATGTATTAAAACTATACACCAAGTTTCACCACTTCCCCCAATTAGAAGCAGAGTAATTGTAACATCTCGGGCAATACCCGCGTTCCGAAGACATGTTGGAAAACAAAGCGTAGCGATAGAGCAGTGGGAGCGGGAAGAACACCGATTACATGTTCACGCCCTCGCTATGCGCACCGCATCCCGACGACGTTCTTTCTGCGACCAAACAGACGTGAAGTGGTCCTGTCGTAAGCGTGATGGGGGCGTAGTCAATTACTTGCCTATCGAGCCACGCTGATTGGAGCGGGTTCTACGCTGTCCCTGCTCTCACCACACTTTTCAACTACGACCTCGCCAAGCGGCTATAGTGCATGTTTCACACCAGCGTAATCAGGTCTTTGTAACAGGGTAGCAAGCACGTGGTAGGAGCGTCATGTCAGCGTGGCGCGGTCTTCTAGGGCGTGGTGGCAACGTGATTGAGCGCGGTGGGAAAGTGGCTGGAGCATGGTAAGAGCGCAGCGAGGACGTAATGGGACGTGGTGTACGCGTAGTGATACCGTGGAAAAGGGTGAAATTTCGGCGATTTTGGGCGTAAAAAGAACATTATAAGCACGTAGCAAGTTCTTCGCTATGCGTGAAAGCGAACTTCAAAGATATAATTGAACGTTTTGTTTAATTATTACTAACCGAATTCACCATTTTGAACGTTATTGTTCTGAATAACCGGATGCTGTAAAACTGTTGGGTGGTGATGAGCCGGATGCTGATAACCAGGAAAACCAGGCCGAAATAATCCGTTGCCATTGGCGAAAAAGGGGGAAGGGAAATCCGGAGCGGGTCTGAAGGCAGGGGCTTGAGTCTGGTGGCGAACAAAGTCGTTATTTGTGGGAGCATTGCGATCTGCATGTGGTTGACTGTTAGCTTTAGGCGACTGGGTAGTCTGGGGATGAGGCGCAGTTATCGTTGGAGTAACAGGTGCTATGGTCATAGATCTAGCCTGAAATATAGAGACAATTTTGATAAGAATGAAGATTTTAGTGTATTAATAATAATATATTTATTCGTACTATGAGTACAATATAATACAATACACTTACAATAATAAATATATGTCTATATACTTATTTTGTACAAAGGTATTCTAATATACAGTTTAGATGTTCTTTATGTTTATTACTTCTGTCAATAAGATAAATCATATCAGAAATAGCACCAGCGGTCATAGAAACATCAATGTTAGGATTATTTTCATCACATCGAACAACTTTGTACAGGATGCAATTAATGTGTATTACTGTGATAGAGAGTATATTTGCCTAAAGGTGTGATGTGGGGGGGGGGGGCACCACACACAGACAATTACACAAGACAAACCTATGGGCAAGACAGAAAATACAGACACTACAAACAACAAACGCACATATCTGATGAATTGAATGGATTCGGGAGGGGGGGGGGCTAGCCGTCATCGTCCAATGCGCTGTATAATCCCGCGCCTGTGTGATACAGGCATTACTCAAAATGAAAAACAAACTAACAATAAGGGAAGCAATTCAAGTAAAAAGAGGAGGGAGTGGAATATTTCCCATACTAGTGTGTATCAACGTCGGCTATGCGCTACATGAAGTATAAATGTAGACACGTTGAAGGACAAAACCTTTAAAAGTGACCACTTTCGTGAAATGTAATAAAAGGCGAAGTGAAAGGGCTATACTATATACCGGAAGACACCGAAAAACACCGGAAACCTACCGGGAAACACCATGTTATACTGAATACAGGAAAACACTGGAAAAACACTAAATATCGGAAAACAAACTAAATACCGGAAAACAACTATGGCTATCATCGCTTGACAAAGGATACCACTCCGAAATGTGCATCACGATATAATCGAGGAACGACCCGTCTATATTAGTTGTAAGGGTTTTTTTCTTTGTATATTTTCATGTAATTTTATTTTTATATTTGTTAATAGTTTTAAATTGGATAGGCCCCGCACCAGACGCCCACTCCTCCCCACGCCCACTCAACTACCAATGGAATTGCCACAGCTACGAAAAAGATTCCAGCCATCACCAGGCTTCCACCAACCACCACCAGGCTACCACCAACCACCACCAGGTTTCCACCGACCACCACCAGGATTCCACCAACCACCGCCTGGATTCCGCTACCAGCACCAACCAAGTCGACAACCAAACCAGCACCAACCGAGTCGACAACCAAACCAGCACCAACCAAGTCGACAGCATTACCAGCACCAACCAAGTCGACAACCAAACCAGCGCCAACCAAAACAACAACCAAACCAGCGCCAACCACCTCCAGAGAATGCAGGTGTTGTGAAAGCCTTTTTTCAGGTCCTCCACCACTTGATCATTATGGAGAGTCAGGAGAATGGAACACCAACCAGAAGTTTCACTTGGAAGATCCAAGATCTGAATAAGTTGGTGAAGCCGGCCATGAAGACGCCACTACCATTCAGACATTGAACTTGAAATGGGCCAAGGACGTCGCCTCACCCTTGTCGACACACTGCCGAGCCCTGCTAGCGGAGAAACTGGAGTACCTGAAGTCACGTCACTTTACCACTTTACCAAAGATGCTGTACAAGAGTACTCTAGCCACCCCTAGTATGGGCCAAGAAGTCCTACGGCAAGCGACTTCAGGATAGTGAGAAGACAGAGTTCCATCGCCTACTGTCCACGGTCTCTAAAACTGTCACGCACCCTCCCCCATCACCAATGCATATTACACACAACTTTCTCCGGGACACACCAAAACGAAACACACCCAACAAGAGAAAATTATCCGCTGGAAAAAGCACTTGCATTAACATTCCCTCGAAGCGTGCATCTAGATCAACCAGTTCGCCCCGGGTTGTGTCTGGCTCATCTACTTCCTCGGGATCTACATCGCCACTGAACGCGCTTGTCGACTGTCTGTCCCCTAGATCGCCCATCATTCCTAACCCTAGAATCACCACCAGATCTTCCACCAGATGAAGGCGATCACTCAACCTATCGCTAAAGAGACCTCACGGTTACAAAGGTAAAGACGAGAAGGATTTATGGTACCTACCACCCGTCATGGCACAGACCCTGGTTATTGGATAATGTAACCTGGCTAGGATTGTATCCTTCCTCGGGGGGTGGGAGATCCATAGCTATTCTGGGGCCAAGATCAGTCACATCAAATAGATTCTCAAAAACTACATGTGTCCTGCACAAGAGGAATGAGTGATACACGCCGGGCTCAACAACATGGAGGAAAGTGGACCAAGGATACACGAGCAGATGCTAGATGTAGTCACGGTCAACTGAAAGGTAACGACGCCATCCACTGGAGCCCAGACACGGCCAGAGAGATCATCAACTGCTGGATGAGGAATTTAAACTAGGATTAGGGAAAAGGAATGAGAAGCCGTCTTTAGGACAGACAGTTGTCAATTTGAGCGACAGACTTCTCAGCCCCCTAGAAATGAACATTCTTGATAAAGGCCTTAAATTCATCCCAACCCCCACAATAAGACCCATAGACCCCATCACCCAGGCAACCGATCGCCTTCCAAAGAACACTTTCACGGACTCATTTTTTTAGGAACAAACCCGGCAGTTAAAAAAATTATTCACAGAAAAATCCACATGGAAACCACCTAAAAAGTCATCATCACCAGCCATTCTAAAAACTTTTGACGAAATGAACACAGAAATATCACCCCTTCAACCACAATCACAAAAAAACCAATCTCAACCGAGCAACTAAACCAGCATTAAACACCCTCAAAAAAGACAAAAACATAATAATTAAGAAAAGCGACAAAGGTTCGTGTTGTGTCATAATGAATCGCGCAGACTATATCTCTGCAGCAGAAAAACAATTAAATAATCCTAAACATTACACTAAATTAGACCAACGACATCTCTATACGCTACCAAAAATACATAAAAATCCAGAAACGGAATGATTTATACCTAATAAATTACCCAAGGGGCGCCCAATAATATCAGACTGTGGCAGCGAATCATATAACGTATCACAATATATAGACCATTTCTTATTACCCCTAGCATGCCAACACCCATCCTACCTAAAAGCCACTAACGATTTTATTCAAACAGTTAAGAGTCCCTGAACACACCATTTTAATATCATCGACGTACAGAGCATGTACATGAATATCGATAATAACACAGGTATTGAAGCAGTTAGGAAAGCTTTTCTTAGGAACCCACAAGCATCTAGGCCGGACGAAGAAATCCAAATCTACTCGACATTTGTCTGAGGAGGAATGATTTCACTTTCAACGACCAAGTATACCTCCAGTCTTCCGGAACTGCGATGGGAAAACGATTTGCCCCGAGTTATGCAAATCTCTTCATGGCGGAGTGGGAAAGGGAAGTTCTGCCGCTCTGCCCATTAAAACCAGATTTCTATGGACGTTTTCTAGATGACGTTTTCATAGTCTGGACAATCATCATCTATCTGTCAAATTAACCGCAAATGTAAGTCATAACAGCATAGATTTCCTTGACACCACCGTCCTTAAAAGTAGCAACACCAAAAACACAGGTCAACTGGAAACTAAAGTATTTTTCGAAGAAACCGATACACGTCAATTATTGTTCAAGGGCTCCTTCCACCCCAAACATACATTCTCTGGCATCATAAAATCTCAGATTCTCCATTTTCATAGGATATGCACAAAGAAGACGGACGTTGAGTCAGCATGTACGCTGGTATTTAGCAAACTAAGAGAAATGGGATACTCCAAACGCTATCTCTGACGTATAAAAAAACAACACTCTAGCTGGACTTGCCGCCAAAGGAACAAATAATATGCAATCAGCAGTTAAAACCAAAACTTGTGGCCATCCGAGATGTCAAACCTGCAAAATCATAAACATATCCGACCATTTCCATAACAAAACATCTGGCACACAATTCCCAATATTAGACCAACTTTCATGCAGTAGTTCAAACATAATTTATTTAATTTCATGTAGACAATGTGACAAACAATACGTAGGGGAGACTCAGAATGCACTTAGGGAAAGAATTAAAGATCACCGATCAGACATAGTCACCAAAAAAGACAAACCGGTCTCTATTCATTTCAACCAACCAAATCATGATATTTCTGATCTCATTGTCACGCCAATAGAAAAGACCAAGAGCGACTTTGAAACTGCAGAAGAAATTAAAACGTTTAGGCTAACAAGAGAAAAAATATGGATTGACAAATTGAAAACAACAGCCCCCCTAGGTTTGAATATTCTTACGGCTAGCGCAGTAGTCCGTTTTGTGGTTCCATTTAGCGCAACAGCAGCAAGTGCATCCAAAATCATCAGTAAACGCTATACTGATCTCCAACAAAATCACCCGAAAATCTTCACAAAGAAACTTATAATTGCATATTCTAAAAATAAAAATCTGAACGACATCCCATTGCACAGTAAATTAGATTAAATAAGACCAGTCTCCACCCTAACCGTTAGTAAATAAAATCAACTAGATATAACAATCCCTAGCCCTAACCCGGTGATGTGGAACAAACACATTTTTAGAAAATCCAGTTCGTAGTAGGAAACACACTACGGTGTTTTCCGGTATATAGTATTGTCGAAGTGAAACTAAATTGACAATACTATATACCGAAAAACACCGGAAAACAACCGAAAAACAACCGGAAAACACCATTTTATACTGAATACCGGAAAACACCGGAAAAACACTATATACCGGAAAACATCCTAAATACCGGAAAACACCCTAAATAGGTAACCCGGAGCCTGGTCCTCTGCGTGCGGTTTTGGACCAAGTGAGCGCCGATGAAGGAAGGTCAAGGTCATTACGATGTTCGCTTTACAAATAGCCCCCCCACCCCCCCAAAAAAAAAATTCCGATTTTTTTCTCCAAAATTTTTTGGACGGAAAAAATTTTCTGTCACAAAAAAAAAAAAAAAATTCGAATTTTTCCGAAAAATTGGTTTTA